ACTGTAATATGTACAAAAATATATGTAATTAGAGCGCTAATGCAGGTTGTTTCGTCAAGAATATCTACTGGGCAAATACCCGAAAAAATAGCACAAAATGCACCTAAAAAATCGAGATAAGATTTATTCTATGAATTGTAAAAAACGATTAGTCACCGATAATTAATATAGAAAGCCATGGAGTTGCCCTCTGGGGATGAATTTTAGCAAAGATTGGTGGTAGTAAACCATCATTAGCCATTGCATAAAATATTCGAGTCTGTGAGAGCATTCCCATCAATGCTACAGTTGTATAACTAGCAATAGCACCTAAATTCATAATAATTGATAACCAAAGACCATAAGGTGTAGTTTTTCTATAAATATTACAATGAATACTACTCATATTCTCTAATACATTAGTAATGACTTACATTGCTTCAGCAAGAGGACTATCTCTGTCTAATAAGTTGCATGGAACGAGTCCAACCATCACAGTACATATTCCAACATAAAGTAGCAATGAAATAATTGTTGATCCAATAATGGCAATTGGCAGTGATGTCTCTGGTGACTTTGCTTCTTGTGCTACTGTTGATATTGAATCAAAACCTACATATGCAACGAAAACATAAGTACATGCTTGCAGCATTCCTGCTACATCATATTCACTAAATGAACCTAAGATATACAATAAAATGCATTCATTTTCTTAGATATCAATCAAACAAGGATGTACCTTTATTTGGTGGAAAAAGTGGATAATAATTATTGCGATTAACATAATTACAACAGGCGAAATTAATCACTTGATCAGTGACAAAAAAATCTTCCGTGTCTTTGTTCCAAGCCACTGGTGATTCGATAATCATGCTTGTTACATTATAATCAGATACAATATCAATAAATAAAACAACATGCTTGCTCCAAGCAACTACTACTGTCAAAACACTAAACAGATAAAGTATCACTGAATTCCATCCAATAAACCATGCTAAATATTCTAAAATGAAGAAGAAATAAATGTGGAAACCTCGGATTTAAATCCGAGAGTTATGTGTACTTCAAAAAGTGAATGAGACAGATGAGTTACCCTAGAATGTGTGGACATCAAAATTGTCCTGGCAAACCCTTTCTGTAAACACTTAATTTCTATTGGCTATTGCTCAGCCAATACGATTTGGAGGCAAATACAGAGAAGATTTGAACTCTTCACCTTCATTTACCCTAAGAAACTCGTTTTTCTTATAACTTGATTTCTATTGGTCACTGCTCAACCAATGGGATTTCGAGGCGAATGGAACATAGATTCGAGTTCTCCATTCTAGAAAACCTCGAACTATCATCGCTGTGATGGGAAGATAGAGCTCTAATTGTGGATCACATAGAGCGCGGACAAAAATAGAACCGAATTCCGATTAATTATCTTTGCAATAGGCGAGTTAGCTTTCTTGTTTCTTTATGTTTTATATACCATTTTGTAGCTCGTGAAATTCTCTATCGAATGGTATATAATAGTTGGGGTTTTATATGACTATGATAGGAAAAGTTTTTTATGAAAGTAGAGAAGGGTCTATCTTCTCATAGGGAAAAATGACTATTTTTGCTATAACTCAGCAATGGTTCGGCCAATCATTCTCATCTTCGAACTCGACCGAGATATTGTTAAGACTAAACTGTGTAGAAAATTTCATCACGATCGGACTCTTCTTTCAAAAGTTATCGTGTTAACGGCCGGACGGCCGGCCGGACGGCCGGACACACTGACCGATTCTAGAGTGTACTCACTTTTTGAGTACACAAAAAGCGAATCTCTTATAACAATATTTTTCATTGTATACCTCCCAAGGCTAAAACAATAAAACAGAAAAACAAGAGTTCATGAAAGGAAAATATGTATACAATCAGTAACTCACCTACATAAACATATATGTAAACTGATCCAGAACTAGGCATCATTGTTCCTAGTTCTGAAAATGACAAAGATGAAAATAATGCAATAACGCCTGTTATAACAAATGAAATGATGATTGATGGACCAGAATATTTTGCAGCAGCTTGTCCACTTAATACAAATATCCCGGCACCTGAAAAAATGATTCAAAACTCTTAGCACATGTAATAATTTCAAACTGACTCACCAATAATAGTACCAAGACCTACAGCAAGTAGTTGAATCCAATTTAGTGTACGTTTAAATCCTTGCTTTGTAGCAAGCTCTTCTTGTAGTTGTTTCATTGGTTTGCGTGCAAA